CTTTCAAAGCCTGTTTGACAGTTTCTGTTTTTTGTTTTTTTGGTACTGGGGATTGAACTCATGACCTCCCACTTACCAGGCAAGTGCTTGAACCGCTGGGCTAAATCCCCAGCCCTTGTTTGGCAGTTTCTTAAAAACTAAACATATTCTTAAGCTGGATATGGTGATGCATGTCAATGGCACCAGCTCTTTGGAAGATTGAGGCAGGAAAATCAATTGAGTACATGGGTTTGAAGTCAGCTTGATCTTTCTCTTAAAAACATGCCAACCCTTACCATATGTTTCAACATTCTTGCTCACTGGTATTTTCCAAATGAACTGAAAGCTCCTATCGACATAAAACCCCTCCATGAATGTTCACAGCAGCGTTATTCACAATTGCCCAAATTCGGAAGCAGTCAAGGTGTCCTTCAGTAGGTAAATGGATGCACAAATTGGTATATCCAGACAACACAGTGATATTCAATGCTCAAAAGAAAGAGATATCAAGCCATAAAAAGACATGAAAAGTTTAAATGACTTTTACTAAATGAAAGAAACCATATGAGAAGGTTGTACTGTGTGATTCCAACTATAAGATACCCTAGAAAAGGTAAAACTATGGAGACAGTAAAAGCTTCAGTGGTTGTTAGGGGTTAGGCAGTAGAGAAGGATGAGAAGGCAGGGCACAGAGGATTTTTTTTTTTTTTTTTACCGGTACTAGGGATCGAACTCACAACCACGTGCTTGCAAGGCGGGTGCTTACACCACTGAGCTAAATCCCCAGCCCCTACAGAGAATTTTTGAAGCAGTAAAATTATGTTGTATGATAGTAAATGGTAGAAACATTATATATTTTCCCAAATCCATGAAATACACAAAACCAAGAACCAACTACAATGATGTCAGTGTAGGTGCACCAATTATAACAAAAGTCCCCTGGGGCTGGGGGATGTCGATTGTGGGAGAGGTTGGATAGGTGTGAGGATAGGGAACCCTGTTCTTACAATTTCCTGTGAACCTATAATTGCTTTCTAAAATTTCTCTCATTGGGCCTGGGGACTTAGCTCAGTGGTACAAGCTCCTGACTGGCAAATGAGAGGTTCTGAGTTCGATCACCGGTACAAAAAAAAATTCTTTCTTAAAAACAATGACAACCCCCCCCCCCCAACAATGATGAAGCCAGGCGTGGTGATGTACACCTGTAATCCCAGCAGCCTGAACTACATGGTGAGATCTTGTCTGAAAAAAAGCAGATCAACAACCAACCAACACCATCCCCCAAATTAACCACAACAAAATCCACACAGTACATTATTGCTATTTCCATTGTGAAGATAACAACGAAATGACCAACCAAAATCAAAACAAACTTTACAGATTTAGAAATCACAGTGAACTCAATGCATACTGAACACAAAGAAAGTCACATCTAGAAAATAACAAGAGAAAGCATAGTAACTACGGTAGATCACCTAATATTGTGGTCTTATGTGTCTTTTTCACTGCATGTTTTTCTAGGAATTTGTTTTGCTGTCTTGTTATGATTTGTTTTCCCCTATAATACAGAGAGGATAGATATACATGTAGAAATTTACGCATGAGAAGATTCTTTTAAAAAACTATTTACAGAAACAGATTATATAATGCAATACATAATGAACAGATACTCTGAAGAAGAGACACTAAGAAACCCAATGCTAATTTTGTAGCATTATGATATAAAATCTAGCAATACTATTATTCACTGATCAGAGTGATATTAGTCTAGTCTCTTCAGTTCAAATATCAGCATATGTAAAGATAAGGACAGCTACTATGAAGAGAATGAGAAATGCGATGGTAGTTATTATTGTCTTCCCCAATGTCAGATCTTGAAGACTTAAAAAGCCTTCATCATCCTGTAATGATGTGATTAGTTCTATAATATGCAGTATGTATTTAATGTGTGTGAAGATGGGGACAACTATTTGGAAGAAACTAGAGACAGTGAGATAGACAGTGAAGATCTCCAGTGGACTAGCTTTGAAATCTGTATTTCTTTAAATTGTTTTTTTTAAACTGTTTTGTTCTGTTTTGATATGTTTAATCTTACCCTCTTTAAGATATAAAACAAGTGTGTAGGACTGATAACCATATTACTGAGTTTTTGTTAGATCATTGAGCAGAACTGTTGGCAGTGTCACTATTTGAATGTCATTTTACATACTTTAATTTTGTAACCTGAACAGCTATTTCTAAGATGACAATATGTAACTTATCAACTGGCAATTTCTTACCATTTATTTTTCTGTAATTCTGTATTATTTCTACCCTTTTTAATCTTCATGTATTTTTTTGTTTCTTTCTCTCTAAATAAAAAAAAAGTAACATCTAGACACATCAAAATCAATCTGCTGAAAACTAAGGATAAAAAGAAAATGTTAAAAGTCAGAGGAAAAAACATATTAGATACAGGGGAACCAGTGTCAAGTTTGTAATGAGAAATTATAGAATCAAGAAGACCATGCTGCAACATCTATAAAGTGCTAAAAGGAGAGAAGAATGTATTTTTGTATATATGTATTTGTGTGTGTGAGTGTGTACTGGGGATTGAACTCAGGGGCTTCCTACTGAGCTACATTCCTAGCCCTCCTCCCCCAACCTACTTGTTTTGGGGGGGGTGCTTGGAATCAAACTCATCACTTCCTGTTGCCAGGCAGGTACTTGTGTTGCTGAACTATATCCCTGGTCTTCCTAGCCCCTTTTTATTTTTTGAGACAAGGTCTTGCTAAGTACGGTTATGGTTTATATCTAGATATCTCCCAAGTGCCTCCTGATCAGTGTGGCTTCTGAAAGATGATTGGATTACGAGGATTTACAGCTGGCTTGCTGCTAAGAGGTGGGGTCAGGTTGGAAGAGGATAGTTGTGACAGTGTGGCCTGGAAGGGTTTATCTGCCTTCCCAGTTCCTCCTTTTGCTCTCTGGCACTTGGTTGGCATAATCCAAGCAGCTTTTCTTCTGACACACCCCTCTGCCACGCTGTTTCTTCTTTGGAGACTGCTGACCATGGGCTGAATCATAAACCACAATAAGTGCTTCCTCCTTTAAGTGGCAGATATTAGGTATTCTGTCCCAAAGACAACAGAAAGGGCTGAGACAGTCACTAAAATGCCCAGTCTGGGCTTCAATTTGTAATTCTCCTGCCTCTGACTTCCAGACTACTGAGAATCCAGGTGTTTGCTACCAGGTACAGCAAAAATGCCTTTCAAAAATTAAGGTAAAATAGTTTTCTCAGGAGACTCACATTATACAAAAAACTAAAAGAAGTTTTTTAGACTAAAGGAAAAAGATACCAGATGGGAATCTGAATCTATAGGAAGGTATAGCACATTAGAAAAGATAAATACATCAGTAAATAATACCACATTCATTCTTGGGTATCCATAGGGGGACTGGTCCTGAAATCTACAGATGTTCAAGTCCTTCATATAAAAACATGTGACATTTGCATATAAGCTATAGATACTCTCTTATATGTAAAGACAATTTTAAAAAGAATTTAAATAATGCAGTGTAAATGCTATATAAATAGCTGTTATAGTATAATGGTTACGAAATAATAAGAAAAATGTCTATACATATTCATTAGAGATAATAATTTTGTTCTCAACAATTTTGGACTCACTGTTGAGCATATGGATGTGCAACCTGTGGATAGAAAAGATCCACTGTACCTGTGTTTTTGGTTTTTTGAGACAGGAACTCCCTATGTAGTTCAGACTGGCCTTGAACTCACTATGTAGCCCAGATTGGCTCTGAACTTGTGGCAATCCTCCTGCCTCAGTCTCCTGCCCAAGTGCTGGATTACAGGCATGCGCCACCACACCTGGTTCAGGGGCACTATACTTTAATTTGTTTTTTTAACTTCTTTAAATGTCAACTAACTGTTTAGAGCAATAGTAATAATATGGAGCTGAGGATGTAGCTCAGTGGTTAAGACCTTGCCTGGCATGCACAGGGACCCAGGTTCAATTCCCAGTACCTCCTATCACACAACTGTATTACAGAGTTTATTACCAATGTAGGAAAGCAATATAAGGCAATAGTGCCACAAGACAGGAGTGGTGAAAATAAAATTATAAATGTTTTGTGTACCCTACAGTATAATATTAATTCAACTAAATTGTGATGAGGGAAGGACACAAATTGCTACTTGTAGGGCAACTGGAAAGAACATAACACGAATAACCACTGCTACAAAGTTAGGAGAGGACACAAAATGGAACCTTAAAAAGTATGCACCCCAAAAGAAGTCAAAAAGGGAAAAAAGCAAAGAAAAAAGATCAGATAAATAGAACACAAATCATAATATGACAATCTTAAGTAGAACCATAACTATATATACATATATATGTCTATCTTTACATATAAATGCAACAAATGGTCAGAGTGATACAAGAAAGACTGAAGTTATATTTTGTTCACAAAGATGCATTTTCAATATAAAGGCACAGAGAAGTTGAAAGGAAAAAGATCAAAAAAGACATACCATGCAATCGCCAAGCGTGAGAACACTAGCGTGGTTACTGTAATAGCAAATGAAGTAGAATTCCGGACAGGCAGTATTGCCAGAGATAGAGAAATTAACCCCATAAAGATAAAAAACCAAGAAATCAATAAAATCCTAAACATGGATATGCCTAATAGCAAAGGTTCAAAAACTATAAAGCAAAAATTGACCACAGCGAAGGGAGAAGTGGAGAAGGTGGAAAAAAGAGAGAACCACAATGTCAAAGAGACATGAAGAGAGAGAGAAAAAAAGAAATACAGAGCTATGGATTGCCAGAGGGACAGAGATGGACTCAGCCAGACCCTAAGAAGATGATGGGCCCCACAGATTGGGAGGAACTCAGAGAACTGAAGCACTCTGGACCACCCAGGAGGGTTAGAGGTTCTGGCTGTGTTGGACAGAACCAGCTCAGGGGCCTGGGGACGTGGGATCCTGAAGGGGTGGTTCCAAGGTGGATATCATCACTTACCTGCTGCCCTGTGAGGCCTTGGGGGCCAGGCTCCCCATGAGCTCCCTTTGTGTGAGGGAAGAAAGGAACCAAGTTAGCTGTTAGGACTTCAGAACCCTTGGGCTCCCCAGAATCCCCTCTCCAGGCCACCTGGGTACTCACTCTTTCGCCCTTTTGTCCTGGGTGGCCTGGGATTCCTTTGGGTCCAGTAGGGCCTGGGGGTCCCTGAGCAACAAGATACGGACTTAGTTTTGTGCTGGGGTAGGATGGACTGGGCAGGGGGCTGGAGGCTGGGCACTGGGAAGAGAGTCTCAGCTTGGCCTGCTCAGCCACATGGTGTTTAATGCTCAGCACACAGCGGGCAGTTCATATGGCTCAAAATTACAAGAACTAGATACTGGGCCAGATAGTCCCTTCCCAACCCACAGATGTTGCCAGCTGTTGGCCACAACCCCAGGACAAAATTTCCATTTTTCTTGGCCTTAGGCAATAATAATGCTTCTTGTTACATGAATCAAATGAGAGGATGTATGGAAAGTAGTTTGCTCAGTAAGTACTTTTTTTTTTCCCCTTGCAGTTCAGGTCGGCCTTGAGCTCACTTTGTAGCCCAGGCTGGTCTCAAACTCTTGACGATCCTCCTGCCTTAGCTTCCCAAGTGCTGGATTACAAGTGTGTGCCACCATGCCCAGTTTTCAACAAGTACTTATTGAATGACTAAATTAAATAAGGATGAATAGATGGATGAATGGATAGAAACAGGATAGGAGCATTTGCAGAATGACTCACCATGTGTCCAGGACTCCCGGGTACCCCTGTGGGGCCAGGAGGTCCAGGGGGACCTAGAATAAGACAGGATGTCCTCAGGCTTGGAAAAGAATACATTGCCAGCCGCCTTTGATAGCCACAGGACTAGTTCTGCAATCTACCAATTCCACCTTTCACACCAAGCCTGGACTCGACTTACCCATGGGTCCTGGAGGGCCAGGGGGACCTGGGGACCCAGTGAGTCCCTGAGGCCAGTGGCTGCTGCTCTCAGTGAAAGTGTTAGACAATAATGAGTCCCCTGCAAGAGAAAAAATAATGAGGGTAAGGTATAGCAGTGCTCAACTGACACCTCTGCAAAACCAGCACCAACTGTTCTATGGGCAACTGCCAGCATGGATAGGACCCCTAGGATAGACAAGGGAGACTACTGGCCCTGTAGGATTAGAAGGCAGGGAAGCCTGGGTTCTAATCCCACCATAGTCTAGTTGGTGATACCCAGAAAGTCTCACTCCATTTTGCTGAACCTGAATGTTGCCTGTTGAATGAAATAATAAAAGCTACCACTTATTGACCATCTATAGCACTCTAGGGTTCTATCACAGAGCTCTGGGAGGATGGCATTGTCACTATCTCCACTGTAGAAATGATGGGTCCAAGGCTGGCAGGAGAATGATTAGAGAGATGGAATGAATGGTGGCATGGGATAATGAAGTAATGAATGGTACCCATTCATGTGCCAAAGATCTGATACAGATGGAGTTGAACCTGGCACTCCATGCTGTGTGATCCCTGGCAACAAAGGGAGAAGGTCAGAGATGCACATCAGGGCCCAGCTTGATGGAGGAACTGGGGCCTCTGTGAGCCCAGGGTCTGGGTTGTGGCCTTAATTGCTTGAGTTCACTTCTTGCTGCCAGGACTTAGGCTTCCTGACACTCTGAGAGCTGAATTTTAGCCAGCTCCAAGCTGTGGAGGGGCTGATACTTGGTGGTTCTGAGTATGTGTGTCTGAAGCCACTCCCCAACATTCAGCTGAGTGACTGTACCAACTGATCTCCTCTCTCTAGCTGCCAATGTCCCTCATTTATGTACAAAGAACAATGATGTCTACTGGATATTTGGGTGACAGGTACTCTACACTGGACATATCTGGCACACAGAAGGTACCTGTCAGATGGTAGCAGGGACATAGATGATGGCTACTCTAGCTTTCTACACCCCACCCCTACCTCAATCTAGCAACACCCCACAGATACTCACCATGCTGGGAAATCTGGGCATAAGGTGGCCCAACAGGGGCTGGAGGGCCTGGGGGGCCAGGAGGCCCTGGTGGGCCTGGAGGTCCCCTCTCTCCAGGGATGCCTGCAGCTCCAGCCTGGCCAGGGTTTCCTGGTGGGCCCTGTGGACCTGCAATGAGATCCCAGGAGAGTATCCCAAGGCATATACAGGAGGCAAGGAGAACTAGAGCAACCTCAAGGGGCAGGACAAGGCAGCCTGGGCCACTGGGCATGACAGAAGTGTCTGGAGATAGCCCAGACCTATCTATGAAGAGCACAAACACAGAATCCTGCCTTTCGTCCCATCCACACTGGTCCAGGTTTCCTTTCTTGGAGCCCCCATCCTATCATTATCCACCATAGCAACCCTGGTCACATGGGTGGGCATTGGTGTTTTTCTTCTGCCTGGGCTTCCTCCCACTGGTCTGGGAGTTCCCAGTGGGCAAGGGCCAGGATGATTCCCAATCCTTGGTATTCAGCTCAGAGCCTGTTGAGCATAGCTGGCCAAGAAGCATGAACTGGCTGGGGGTTTAGCTCAGTGGCGTAAGAGCCTGCTTGGTCATGAGTTCCATCCCCAGCACCAAAAAAAACCCCCAAAAACCAAAAACCAAAAAAATCCTGATTTACCAAGAAGCACGAACTGAGTGAGGCAAGAGAGAGGGTTTTAAGGAGCCCAGCAGTGAGTGGGGCAATCCAGAGAGCAGAGAGCAGAGAGCAGAGGGGTCACTGGGTGAAAGGGGCCAGGCCACCTGGCTGTCAAGGTTGGGAGAAAGATCCCAACCTGGGTCCATGTGGCTGGCCACATGGCCAAGGAAGTTGAGGGAATGGATATCATTCTGGGCACTCACCTGGTGGGCCTCTCATTCCTGCGGGGCCCTGGCTACCAGCATCTCCTTTGGGACCGATGGGGCCAGGCAGCCCCCGCATACCCACTCGGTCTAGGGGTAAAGAATGTGAGGTTGGCAGCTCTGGACTTTGTTTTGACTTGCACCCCAGCCCTGGCCCCTCAGCCAGCACTTACCATCTCGAGGGAGCAGTGGGGCCCTCACTGTCTCTCTGGCTCCTGGTAGCCCTGGGGAGAGGAGGCAGGAAAGGGTCAATGTCCCTGCTGGAAGAGTCATCCAGAGTCACCTCCTGCAGCTCCACCCTGGAAGGGTCTGCTGGGGCTGACTGGCCTCCCAAGACTCCATGGCCCAGGAGCCCCGGAGACCGTCCTCTCAGGTTTACTGGGGAGATGGGAAGACAGGCCTTTGAGGTGGCAGGCAGTTCATGGCAGAATGGCAGATTCTTGCTGCCCTGATTCCCACACGGGAGGGATTCCCACCTGATCCACTCACCCTGGAGGCCTCTATCTCCAGGGCTGCCCTGGGCAGCCGGGAAGCCCCAGAGTGGGGCAGGGTCTTCAGGGGTAGGTAGGGTTGGGGGCACTGCTTGCTCAGTGACAGTCAGTATGGCCACCTGTGGAGGAAGAAGACAGGGATGGAATGGGTGCCGGGAACTCATCAGAGACAGGTCGGTAGAGTGGCCCTAGTGCGGGTGGAATGAGGCCCATTGTGCCAGTAGAGCCCACTTAGGAGTGGAGCCCTGGGCTACAGGGCCCAGAACTTCATTAGAAGTGACTGCGTGCCCCTGCCCCATGTGCTGGGAATGGAACCCACGGCCTTGCTGTGCTAAGCAAGTATTTTACCACTTAGCTACATCTCCAGCTCTGAGAAGTGACTGTGTTTTGCAAAGTGTACAATTCATTCATTACTTGCATTGTAGAAGTCATTATATACAATCACGGTCAGTTGGCTGTTCTCGATGGAGGTGTTTGTTGGCCGCATAGTTTTTTCTGTGCTCATCCCATAAATAATGTGACACCTTTCCTGGTTTGTTAAAGCTCCACAGCAATAGGACTGGGAGGATTTCACCAATCTTCTTCTCCTTCTCCTTCTCTCTCTCTCTCTCTCTCTCTCTCTCTGTCTGTTGTATGTTGGGGATTGAACCCAGGGCCTCCTCTATGACTGAGATTCTTGCTGAATTTGAAGGGAAATGAAAGAGAGGAGGAAATAGTGGAGCAAAGTATACACAGGCTTTATACATCCATGTTTGAAAAAATGTAAAAGAAAAAGATGACATCAAATGCCTGTAGTCCCAGGTACTTGTGAGGCTGAGGCAGGAGGAATGACCTAAGTCCCGAAGTGATAAGCCTATGTAACAGAGCAAGACATGAACTCAGCGGGGAAAAAATAAGTGACAGTTCTCTCTGGAAGCACAGGTGCCTGCTGCAAATGGATTTCTGGCAGGTTTTTCACATTTCTGAGTTTTTAATCTTGAAATGATTTCAGATGTGTAATAAATTTGCTTTCGAAGCTGGAAGAATGTTGGGGAGGAGACAGGCAGGGAGAGGATCCAGCAATAACCTGTGTGTGTGCTCATCTGGCTGGGCCTGGCCACACGCAGGGAGTATCGTGGGCTCTGGAGGATGAACAGGCCTCCAGGTCATCTGACTGAGGGGGCTTCTCAAGGGTGGCACTGGAGGACAGGCTGCAGAGAGCTGGTCAGGAACCAGAGGGAGGCAGGATGTGGCTGTGCAGGAAGCTGCCAGTCAGGTCCATGGACAGTGAGTACGGCAGCTCAGAGCTGGATGGTGGGAATGAGAATAAGCTGGGCATGCAGGAGCAGGAAGGGGCAGAGGACCAGGGGCAGCTGCTCACCTACCTTGGCCTCTAGTGCCTTCAGTCGCTCAGCCAGCTCTGTCACTTTGCTGCAGTTGAGACAACCTGTAGGATTGGAGGAACCTAGGTCCCTGGGTGTCCCCAGAGTCCTGGAGGGATGGATAGAGTGGAAGACAGACACAGAATGACCCCAATCCAGGAGGGAGCTGAATGCAGGACAGGGGCTGCAGGAGCACCTCAGGCTCACGGTGTACCATGCCCTGTAGGTTTCCTTCCATTCCTAAGCCTCCAGAATGGACTTCTTTCTCTCAGAGCACAATCCAGCACCCCTGTGCATCCAAAGTAACCCTTTCCCAGAAGCCAGGGCAGGAAATTTTGTTTTGATGGGTTGGGTTAGGGCTGGGCCTGCCAGCTCTGGGGACCATTCTGGATAGTGTTAATCTGAGAGGCCATCCTTTGATCCTCTCACACAAGCACAGCCCAGCTCCTTTGGCCTCCTTGGTGACATCCCTAATGCATTTATGACAGTTCTGGCCATGTGAGGAGCCTTTAGAATCTGGACTCTCTGGTCTTCACCACAGCTTCATGGGTCAGGGGACTGTCACCCCTGCTCATGCCTGAGGAACTTGGACTCACTGGAAATGTACAGTGAGTGTCTCATAAGCACAACACAAATGAGCCAGCTTCAGGTGCTGTCGCCTCCTGGCTCAGTTCCTGGGGCAGGGTAGGGCACAGGCCAGGGCCCTCAGTTTCTGCTGCTTTGAAATGAGCTGAGGTGGCATTGGTTGGGGGTGGGCAGACAGCTGTGAAGTTGAGTGAGCTGGTGATGGAAAGCACCTGGCTGGGGCCTTACACACTGCAGACATTCAGGAAAACAGATTTATATAAAAAGACAAAATTTAGGGCTTGGACCTGTATCAGAAAGAGATCAGGGGTCATGGGTCTTGGGATGCCTGAGCCCAGGTCATCCCCTCTTCTGGGGCCCTTCCTTTCTGGCTTGAAGCTCTTTCCAGCATGGGTAGTAGAGTATGGGGTGCTGTCCAAGATGCTCCACTGCTGGGCCGTGTTGGATCTTAGACAATTAACTTACTGTGTTCCTTCAGGTCTACCCCACCGCAGGAAGTCACCACCAAGTTGCTTCAGGACCTACCTGAGAAGGCTGTGGGCCGAAGCGCCATCCGCCGCATGGTGCTGCCTGACCACATGGGCTCTACGAAGCCAGAGGAGGCTGCAACTGAGGGATGGAGGGAGAGAACCTTACTGGTCTGTGCTATCTTTGCCTAGTCACACAGCCCTGCCTGCTGCTATGCAGGGGCAGACAGAGGTACAGGGAGGAGGAGCAGCTGAACTGGGTCACACCCGATGGGCTGACACCTGACGGGCTGGTGAGAGCAGCTGGCCATAGGGTGGGGACTTTGGATGAGGCTGGGGGCTTCCCTAGACCTCAGCCAGCTAGCTACACAGGTTCAGAGGTTAGAGTTAACAGCAGGCTTCTGTCCCAGTGCTAACACTTATTGACCCTTGTGTTTCTCTGGACCTTCCAATTTTCTCAGCTGTAAAATGGGATACTGAGGCTTCTGTCCCTGCCAGGATGGTGTGGAGGCCTAAAGGATGGAGACGTGTGCAAAGGGCCCACTGTGCACACACAGGGCCTGGGACACAGTAGGTGCTCAATAAATGCGGCTGCAATTTTTGCCTGCCTTGCTTTCTCTGTCTCTCTAGTGAGAAGAGCCTGAAGTGGATCCAGTTCTGGTTCTAAATGAAAACCAGAGGGAGGCTGGCTGCTTGTTCCTGGAGCCCACTTCCCCCACGCCTTGAGAGGAGCAGCCTGCCCTGGCTGGTCTGGCTTTCGGCACAGCTGCAGGGACAGGCTGGCCAAGCCAATGGCGGGGATGCAGCTGGAGGGGCTCTCCAGCCAACAGTGGCAACACTCTCCTCTGCCCCCCAGGTCTGCCTTTTAAGGTCATGAAGTGTTGTCTGTGGGGGTGTGTGGGGGAGACGAGACCCAAATAAGGCACAGGCCTGGCAGCTTGGGCTGTGGGTTGAGGCAGGGAGCACAAGGCGCCAGGAACTCAAACCAGACGGGTCCCTCTGGCCGGCCCCCAGTGGGGAGGCTGCCAGGCCCTGCTCCTGACTCTATCATGGATGGGCCTTTGCTCAGGCTCAGCTGCATCCCTGGCACATGGTCCCCAGGGGCCTGTGACCTGTTCAGGCACGGGAAGGAAATCTTCCTAGGGTGAAGAAAGGGGCGTCTCCCACCCAAGACTGGGGCAGGAATGGAGAGATGCCACTGTGAGCATGTCCCTTGCTAAGGGCTTACACAGCCTGGCTCGATCCCACGGGAAGGTAGTGACAATGGCTAAGTTGTGTTTAGTGCTTCCTCTCCAACCAGTTCCTGCACATTCTAAGAACTCACTCTACATCGCCTATTTCATTGATTGCGCTAGAGCCATATAATCTTAACAGATGGGGAAAACCGTGGCATGCAGCATCTCAGTGCCGCCTCTGCCTTCCATGTGCAGATGGATGGGTGAGTGAGACTTTTCTTTCTCCTATCGGGAAACCAAAGCGGAGTAATGAAGCGACTCATTCCCAGTCCTATCTGTGAAGTTCTCCGGGCTGGATCTGAACCCACGTAGGTCTGACTCTAGAGCCTGATATCTTTTCTTGGGACAGGGGTAGAGGCACCTGGTCCAGTGTCCAGTAGGGCTGCCGGTACTTGAGCGCAATGGCTTTGCTAGCCTTTTTTTATCCTTTTTGCTCCCAGCTGAAGATGTAAACAGTCATTTTATTATTGTTTGAGGACGGTGACCCAAAGCAGTGGCTTTAACTCCAGTCCTGTGTAAATTTAGGTTTTCTCTGTGAAGTTAGCTTCTTCCTTGCTACACTTCCGTTGTCTTCCATTTTCCTCATAGTTTTGTTTTTGTAATATGAGGGGATCGAATGGAGGGCTCACACATTCTAGGCAAATGGTCTGTCTGAGTTACATGCCTAGCCCAAACTGAATGCAGGCATGCATTTGTATTACTTCCTAGTTTTTTGTTTTGTTTGGTTTGGTTTAATAGCTCTTTCTCCCTCTGACATGTTACTGACTAAGAGCAGTTTCTCAGTTGATTGCCTCCTATTTTGCCTTTGGGTGGAACACCAACCTCACTAGGGCAGGGACTTTGTCTGTCTTGTGTGATCTCAAAGGCTACAATACAAGTTCTGTTTATGAACACACAAAGCATGGGCTGAAAATAAATTTCAATCAAGCAAAAGAAATAAAAGGCAAAATAGTGGGGATGGCGGATACAAACATCTTCAAAAGGAGTACATATGTTCTAATGTCACGTGTGGGTGTCCCTGAGTTGTTAATCGGTGGACTTGTGGCTGGAAATTCTTTTTCAACCAATTTGGTTTTGGATATTTTACAAGGAGCCAGAGAGAACAAGAAAAATGAGCAGAAACATAGCTAGGCTAGCCATACAGACAGAAAGGACTCAAAAGTAATTATGAATTTCTATTACAAAAGAGTTTAGGGCTAGCAGTACAGCTCAGTGGGAGAGGGCTGGCCTACTAGCATGTAAAAGACCCTGTGTTCAACCCTAACACCACCAAGGAAAGAAAAGTGAGTTTAAAGAAATAACAGAAGTGTCCAGAAGACCAGGGAAATGTTGATTCTGGGTTAAAGAGTCACAAAAATTACCTCAAACTTCCCTTAAAGTCTGATAAATGGATAGGGATACTTTGAAAGATGAACCAGGTTTTTAAAAGGATCCTTTCTTTATAAAGCACACAAAATCCTACTAAGCAAGAAGTGGTGGGTTGAGGGATGGTTTTCTGTAGGACAATCGTGCTCCATTCCTCCTGCTTCATTTGGCTCTAGGCAGGCTGCAGTGGGCTGAGAAGCCCCTTACCCGAGGCTGACAGACATTCCTGAAGGGCTCATCTGCCCTTTCTTTGCTGTCCCAGGAGGGGCCTGAGTCCTGGTCCCAGGAGGTAGACCTAAGCTCTACCCCAGGGCACTTCTTACCATCTGGAAGGCTCCCAGTCACCCTATACACACATAAACCATGTCTTCCCTTAATTCTTACGGCTGTGACTCCCATGTCATCTCCTCCAGGAAGCCTTTCTGGACAAACCAGGGCACCCACCAGTACCAAAGACCCCTTGACACCCTCACTATTAGGTTATGATCTTCACAGGGCCAGGCTCTCTGTAATTTCTAGTTTTGTGACCCCGAAAGCAGCCTCTTCTTTCTGCCCAGTACCAGCTCTAAGTCCCTTCTTGGGTGCTCATAACATCCCATGAAACAGATAACATTAAGAGCCAGGCATCATAGTATACTTTTGCAATCCCAGCTGTCTGTGAAGCTGAGGCAGGAAGATAACAAATTTGAGCCTAGCCTGAGCAACTTATTGAGACCCTGTCTCAAAATAAAAAGAAAGTTGAGGGATCTGGGTGTGGTGGTTTGTGCCTATAATCCCAGTACTCGGGAGGCTGTGGCAAGAGGATCACTGTGAGTTCAAGATCAGCCTGGGCTATGAAGTGAGCTCAAGGCCAGCCTGAACTACATAGCAAGATCATGTCTTTAAAAAAAAAAAAAAAAGGAAAGAAAGCCGGGGATGTAGTTCAGTACCACAAAACAAAATAAATGAACAAACAAACAAACAACACAAGCCCAGGACACAGAAGGCCTGATCTCTCCACATAGCAGGATGCAGGGACTAGATTCCTAGCCTGCCCAAAATTAGGAATTAGGAGAAGTTTGAGAGTCCTTGAGCTCCATCCCTGTGCTTCTGCCTCCATGAGAGAATCCAAGGGAAGGGACCCTTGTTTATATCCTTCCCTCTACCCCCAGGTCAGCACACTTCAGTGACCACAGGCCACAGGGATACAGCTGCCCCAGCTTCAGCCCAGGCTGCCTGTGGGAATTTGTTTTGCAAATGTAAATATTTGCTGCTGGCCAGCTGGTGACTTGGTCCAGGGTAAGAGCCACCTTGAAAAGAAACCTGACCAGGGTTTCCCTGGTCATAGACCAAGCCTTCCTCTTTGGGGTGGGTGGTTTCCACTTTATCCTGTGCCATTAAGGTACCTTGTGTCAGACTGGGCAACACACCTGGAAGCTATGGGAGTGATATGGGCAGGATACAGGCCAAGTGAGCCAGGTAGGAGCACCGAGAAAGTGACAGGCAAGGGGGTACACCCAACTGTCAAGGCTATGGGTAGGCAGAGGGTAAGAGGGAGGGAAGGTGCAGCTGGCTGTGACGGAGAGCAGGCAGGACAGTCATCCTTGCTGGGTGGGCAGGGAAGGAGGGGGCTGCAGAGCCTCCCAGATGGGAGCAGGAGTGGACAGTGGTGGACATGAAGGCTGGCTCAGTGTAGACTTCATGACTCTGAACATGCAAAGGGAAGGCCAGGCTCATGCTTGACACCTGAATATATGGTGGGGTGGGGGGAGTGCTGGCCTTGATGGTCGGAGAGGCTGGGAGCCCTGGAAGCACTGGTTAGAACCTCCTGCATCTCTTCTGAGGCTTCTGGGCTCAGTGGTCCCAAGCAAACATCACCACTCTGGTTCCCCACCCCAGAGGACAAGGGCTGTGAGGGTTCATGGATGGGAAAGGGACACTTTGGCTGAGAAAGTGGGACCAGTAAAAGGGAAATGGGCAGCCTGGCTCCAGAGGCCATGAAGACAAGAGGGTGAGCCCTGGACCTATCTGTTTTCATTGTGGGATGCTGAGGCTGAGATGGGCCGACACATTTCCTGGGATGTTTTCAGACAGGCCAAGGCAGAGGAAAGACCCCTGACTCCACAGTCAGGGTGACCTGTTTGAATCCAGCTCCTCAGGCTACTGCTCTCAACATGAGCACAGTGAGCCTTTCTGAGTCTGATTTCTGATCTGGACATTCTGTGCTGTGTGTGATGTGCTGGCACCACATGGTGGGCCAGAGTCGTACAGCCTGGTGGCAGCTTTCCTTGCCCTTGTCATTATTACCACGGGAGGGTCTGGGGCAGGGGGTACCACAGGTTGGGGAGAACCTGGCCAAAAGGCTTACATGCTGTGTGATTGAGACCAGTACCTTTCTGTCTTTATCCTCTCGGCAATGGGGCAAATGGGCAAGAGACCTGTCTGCAGAGAGCCCTAAGAAGCGGGGTGACCATTGGGATGGTTGAGGCAGTTCCACCCTTAGCAGAGCCCACCAGAGGGCTCTAAGGACTAAGGCCCAGGTCTGCAAAACGTGACTGCCGCTCTCCTACCATGGCCTTGGCACTGTGCCCGCCCCCTCTCTGCCTTTAGTACAAAGTACATTCTAGACTTGGCCCCTTCTCATTCATTGTTTCTGATGAGACTCATTGTTGCCATATGCAGCCTCAGCTAGGTCCCTCTTAGTCAACAGCCCTCCTCCTAAGGGTCTCAATACCGGCCTCACATATGCTGAGTGATCCTACACTAGCCACCTTACCTCTCTGCACCTCAGTTTCCCCATATGCACTACGGGGCTCATTGTACCTCTGTTCTCTAGGTGGTCGTGAACCTTCACTGAGACTATCCTCCCTCCCTGTCATGGTGTGAGCATTCCCATTCCACAGACGAGCAAACCAGGCAGAGAGTGTTAAGGTCCTAACTGGGTTGTACCAGTCTCATGACTCTAAAGTCTGGAGGTTCTGTTTGTTAACTGAGGAGCAGATCTCAGAGGTGGGAGTCCGGGATGCATCTGCTGGGTCAGCAGAATCCCTGGCACAAGGTGGAAAGGGAAGAGGAAGACATTTATGGAGCATCTACTATGTCATAGTCACGATTGCCACTTCTGACTTCCAGGTGACTGGCAGACAAAGGCAAGGTTCAGAGAGGTAAAATGAGTTGCCCTAACAGACAACACAGGATGACCGACACAGGGCTAGATTTCAGAAGGACAGATGCTCCCCCCTTACTTGCAGCTCATTGGATGCTGCTCTGGGCATAATCACTCATGTGATGCAACTCCATGGCCCCAAGTCAGGTCACAGCAATGAGAGGTCACAAGGGCAACTACCAGGAAAGGAAACGGTGGGTGGAGCTCAGCCTGAGCCAGCTGTGAGAGGAAGGGCTGGGCCTGTGATGGGCCAGCAATGTCTCCATGTCACCCAACTCCCCGACTCAGTCCTCAGTGGAGAAGTTTTCTAGAATATTCAGGTCTGAGCATCTGGTTATCACTTTCCTATTCTTTGCTCTAACCCTGTGGGTAGGAGAAGCCTTTCCCATCCCATCAGACACCATGCAGTGTCCATCATGGGCTTCTCCGGCACCGTGGAGTCTTCACTGCTTCGTATCATTCCAGCGGCAGCACTGAGAACCATTCTATGCTACACGCCCACTTCACAGGATGAGGGCCAAGGAGCCTGAGGTTGTCACAGGGCACACGGCAGCTTGGCTCCCTTCTTCTGAGTGGGCATGAGAAGAATGCTACCTGGATTGTGGGGCCGCAGCCCAGTGCTCTTGCACAATGATTTGTATAAAGCGTGGGGAGTCCCAGGCCCAAGGCCCCTCAGCTGGTGTGTGGCACAGCTGGCTTGGCCATGAAGTCCTGGCTGCCCCAGTCTTCAGGCTGGGACCTAATGGCCCTGCAGAAGGAGCCAGCAGACCTCAGGGTTGGCCTGGCCCAGCACCACTTCTGCCTCACCAGTGGCAGAGTCCCAGACTCAGTCTAGGCCCTAGATGCATGGGCCTAGATGCAGGCCCTAGATGCAGCTGGATTCAAGGACACACTTCATGAAGGTCCAAGACCCTGGATCTGCCTTTGAGAGGGGAACCAGGGTCAGAGGTCCCTCTGGCTGGGCCCCACACTGAGGGATTCACCCACAGCTCTTTTGTGGCCTCCCTGGCAGACACTCCTGGCTGACTGTCCTCTTGCCTCTCGGCCATTCTGCCTTCCTCTTCACTAGGGAGGAGAGCTCCAGGCTCCCGGCTTCTTATACTAATTTATGGCTGTCTCTCTGCTGGGCTGTTAGGCAGACGGACGCCTCTTTCCTCCCAGTCATCTGGTTTCTCCTGAGCTTTACCAGGAATTCTTTTCCATATCAGAACCTGCCAGAGCTCTCCCTTCCCCACTGCTTGGTGAGTTCTGTCCCCACCTGATCCCTGTGTCACTCTGGGCCTTTGACTCCTCTGAGCCTCAGTTGTCCCACCTGTAAACCGAGTCATGGTGAATCTCTTTCCAAAATCACCCATGAGCAGCACTCTCTGCTAGAGGCATGCTTCTATGATTCAGAGGCTGCATTTCTCCATGTCCCTGCTTCTGGAATCAGGATATACCCTATTACTGACAGTCACATTCCTGTGCTGCTTGGGCCCCTGAGTGTCTCTATCCAGGAGGTGCCCATGGTCTATGTTCTCAGGTTGGTTGCAAGTCAGCTCAGCCCCTTTAGGACCTTGCTTGTGACTTCAGCTCCTGGTGTCCCTGGACCTGCCACTTGTGGGATCGGCCAGGCAGTGAGAGTCACAGTAGCCAGATGGCTCTGCAAGTTCAGCAATGAGTGGTTTTCCAGGGAAGAGGAAGCCCAGGCTCTGGGGAGGTCCCAGTGGGGAACAATATAGGAATATAGTCACACAAAGTGCACACAGAGAAAGTAGATAGGTCAGGTGGTCTCTGTGTCTGGGCCATATTCTACCCATTGGGTTTGCAGCTCATTCTGTCCTCAAGGCCCTGAGGAAACGGAACTAAGCAGAAAGGGTTTGAATCCTGACACCGCCACATAGGAGTTTATCACCTGTCAAGTGGGCCCACCATCCCTACCTCTCTGACCACTGAACTGACACAGCCTTCGCCTCTATGTGGTGTGTTATCATGCGCCATGGAAACATCCAGGGGGCGTTTCTCAGGTGCCAGTATTTGGATCTGTCATGTCCCCCGAAGACTCATGTGTTGATAAAAGGTGTGTTCCTCAAGGAGGTGCTATTAGGAGGTGGTGGTAACTTTAAGAGGCCTAACGGGAGGTCTTTAGTTCACTGGACATGTGTCCACCCCAAGAGGACTGTGGGAACCTGGCTCACTGTCCCTTTTTTTTTCTCCTTCCTGGCCATGAAGTATGATCCCTCTAAGATGTGGTACCTTGCTATTGGTCCAAATCTACACAGCCCAACAATCATGGACCAGAAACTCCAAAATGTCAGCCAAAATAAACCTTTTTGCCATATTAAGTATTTTATCTCAGGTAGTTTGTTATATAGTGCCAGGTAACTGACACACCAAATTTGGCAAAATGATTTAAGATGGTGTGATTTAACATGTGAGCAGTACAAGTAGGAAATACTTCCTAAGGATCTGAGAGTCCCTGAGAAGCAAGTGGCAACCATGAGGGAACAGCAGGTACTGACTGTTCTGAGGCACATCCTGCTAAGCAGGTCTGTGCAGTGTGGGCCAAGGCATGCACAGAACTGTGCATGTGTTGTACAGCAGGACTTGGGAGCAGATGCTAACTCCTGTGCACTCTTGGGAAGCATGTGGCACACTATCATAAGGACACATACAATAGTCAGTCTTACCTTCCTCACAGCTCACTCCTGAGTGTCCAGGGCAACATCTCCACTCACGGGTGGTCACTGTCTTGTACATCACCTTGTATGTGGGTCTCACCACAGTTCTGTAGCTGAAAAAGTGTCCAGTTCAGACAAGGTCTTCTACACCTTCCTTATTGCCCTGGATGTCCACAGCCCCCAGGAGCCTCTGCTATTTCCAAGCCCCTCTGGGATCTCTCTCTTCATGTAATCTGAAATTTCAGCCAATAAGATCTGGAAACTAACTGGACAGAAAGGCCCTGCAGTCTCAGATGGCTGGTGCCTGGCCCTGATACTCACCGAGTGAAGGAATGCAGGTGCACGCTGCTATATAGCAGGAATTTCCTTCCTTTTTCCCTCAGGAATCTTTCGGGGTTTCCTCCTGATACAATGCTGCCTTTGCTGCAGCCTTTCCTAGGGTCCTAGCCTTTATCTGTATTCCCACACAACTCCACCACCAGGAAAGCCATGTGGTCCTTCTCCATCATGGCTCACTTACCTGCTCCCTGGGCAGCTCATGGGCCAGGGGCAGTTCTGCAGGACTCGCTGAAGGTAAGTTCCATTTTGCACATGGCAAGAGATGGTACGGGTTACCACATACGAGCACCAGTTTCTGAAACAGACCCAAACAGAGGAGGTTCAGGTGTCAGGTTCAGGCCCCTACATAGGACTCTGGAAGGATGAGTGAGATGATTTATGTCCTTTCCAGCAGCCCCAAGTCCCCAGCTGGAGAGACCCCTTGGGCTTTCAGGATTCTTTGGCCCCTTTTGGTGGAATCTGTACAGCCTATGGCTCAGAGATGAATTCTATGACCCTATGGAAGGTGGTCAGGCTGGGGGCTCAAGCCTTTGGGAATGAATTGCAGATGTGAGCAGTACATCTTCACCAAGGCCACCCATCTCAATCTCTTGCAAGCTAGCCACCTAGCTCACCCTTATTTCTTGCCACCCACTGTGCCTGTCTGAGGCCTTGGGAAGAGAGTCCAGAAATGTATATTTGAAATTTACAAAAATATCAACTAATCATTCAGAGAATCATTTCCAGCTTGGGGTTCAAAGGGCAAGCTCTGGGTTCAGATGGGCTCCATGTTGAGCCTCAGTTCATGAATGTTCTGGACAGGTTCCAGATATGAGAGCCTCAGTCTTTCCATCTGTGAAATGGCATGCATAACAGGATGGGAAAATTCAAATGAGCCGACACGTGGCCTAGGCACAGCCCCTGGTATGCAACAGACGTGAAAAATGGAATCTCCTGTAGTGCCAGGAACAGATAGAATGGAGGGACAGACAGCTTTCCTTGCTGTCTGGCTGTCTGTCTTTTCCTTCCAGAGGTGGCAAATTGATGAGAATGTAATTTTTCCTCCACGGCTAGTTGTTTGCCTCTGCTTTCTATCTCTGCTGCTTCCTCTCTCCCCCACTTTCTCTGTGTCTCTGTCTCCTTGTCTCCTTCCCTTCTTTCCTCTCTCATTTTAATAGAAATGTAACTATTCTGTAACTCTTGGTCTGAGTGTTCCTCCCTGTAACCAGATATAAGCCCTAGTGGTCAGGTCAGCACATGGAGATGCTGGATTCTGTCATAGCATGTGCCTGAGACACTGGAATCTGTCACAGCATGTGCCTGGGGCTCCCATGGCTATTCAGGCTACTCCCACTTTTGTGCTGCTCCCAGAAGAGTGACAGTAAGCACCTGTCACCTGTGTCATAGCTGGCTGCTAAGAACTCTACTGATCTCCTGCTGTTTTGTGGCCAAACTGAACTGTTCCTTCTGCCACTTTTACCAACCTCCAGCCTTTGACCAGAATTTCCTTCCTCCTGGACTGGTTCCAGTATGGCCCAAAGAGATGGAGAGATTTTCTCAGAGTCTCACAGCCTGATAGGACTAAGTTCTGGTTCTGGCCAAGGGCTTTCTATTTCTTTTGGCTCAGGGTGGGGGTGGGCAGCAGTTGGGGTGTTGCACGCAGTGGGCCTGGGAGGCTGTGTGATGGCTGGGACATTCCAGGTGCTCAGCAGCCCTCGGCCCGGCACGGGGTCACAGGCTCTGTGTTATTGACTGAGGCTGGGGAAGGAGAAATGGTTTCAGGTGACTTTTCTCAGTTGGGGCTCCCCCACACCTCTAGACTTTCCTTCATGACCTTGAGCCCAGGGTCAGCACATTCCCAGGCTGGAATCTTCCCTGGAGTCACAGGCCATGGCTCATGGAGATGGGGAGGAGATGGTACTGAGTTCTTTGGGAAGATGTCAGATGTCAGGCTTTCCTATCTATATTCCTGGACCCTAATACAACTCACCTTCCTGAGCCCTCATGTTCCCTCTAACCCAAGTGGAAGTGCCTTTCTGGTTCACAGTTGGAGAAAGATGTAAATACTCTTAGCATGCAGTAAGATGCTCATAATGTACAATGCAATCTGGTTTTAGTTGCCATTTGAAAACATTTTTCCTCCCCACTAGGACAGTAGCATGTGTTGTGCATCCTGGTGTCACACAGAGTAATGCAAGAATAAGGGAGACGGGGCCTGTTCTTTCACATACCAGTACAGCGGGCCAGGCACGGATTACCATTTTATTCTGCAGGACAGGAGTCCAAGAAGCCGCAGGATCCAGGATGGGAAACTACTGGATCTGCTTATGGGGTGAACATGGGAATTGGATGGAGAAAAGAGAGGACACCACCATGGGCTTGGGCTTTGAAGGTAAGAGATGGCACATGGAGAAGGAAAGGAAGCATGCTCCAGATAGTGGGCTTAGGGCAGGCGATGTCTGGAAGGGAGGGACCAATGATAGGGATGGGCATAGTGGACCCGAGGCCTGGGCTTGGGGCTATGGGGGAGCATGGAGGGCAGGGCAGATTTCCATTTTAAGACACTATGGTCAGTGTGATGTCATGCACCTGTAGTTTCCGCTACTGAGGAGGCTAAGGCAGAAACATGCTAAAACCTGAAGTTCAAGGCTAGCTGGGCAACATCGAACACAACAACATCAACTCAAATAGCAGCAACAAAAGACTCATATCCTGAGTGCCTCAGGTTCCTAGAATAGTGCTTTTGAATCTGTTGAAGTTTTGTTTGGAGGGTTAGGGCGCAAAAACTTTTGGGGCTTTGATGTGAATTGTGGCTCCTCCTCGCAAAATACTTAAAGCATGGTGTACAAGTTCAAGGGGGCTCAGAAGTACCCTGCAGCCTATGGGAAGTCTCCAGACCAACCAAGTTCTTCTTAAGTTAAGAAAGGAGAAGGGAGTAGCTGTTTGGGCCAATGAAAGCACTCCACAGAGAGGGAGATCCTAGGCAGAGAATGAACATTTCCTTATCAGTGTGCAGAAGTACACGAGCCTGCACTCATGTGCAAATGCATACACATCCAGGCATACAGGTGCAAACACATACATGGAAACACAAACGCATATGTACTTCTACTGCATGGACATAAGCCTGCACATGTACACACACATACACACACACGAATCCACAGAAGTATATACACCTGTACACCAGAACAAGTCAAATCCAGCAGGACAAGGTTACAGACAAAACTCACACACACATGCACACGTGCTTTCTCATGTGGACATAAGTTGTGGTTGTGACCCTTATATTGTCCACACAAGCACACACAGGGTAATGTACCTCTATCATGTACATATATGCACACACACACACACACACACACACCTGTCACACACCTAACAATTGGCAGATGCAGGCCAAGCATAACACAATGCTGATACACCCCCTCTCACACGTGTCAACACACAATGTGCACATCCTCTGTACCCAGTCCCTGGAACTCAGATGGGAAGGGCTGTAACTGTCTACAATGCCCTGAGCTGTCGTTTTTACTGGTGAAGGGGGTGCCAAGAAAATTATATTTTTCTTCATCTTTAATTAAAATCTCCTTAATGAAGGTCCCAACCTAGTCCCCTGGTTTACTTCCTACAAGCAAGATTTTGCTTGAAACCCCTGCTTAGGGCAGATATGGAGTTGTGGGCAGGATGGCCAGATCTTTTAAACAGGCAGAAGCCAAGTGGGGCTCTAGGTCAGCCAGCTGGTCCTGCCACCTGAAAGTCACCAGTTACCACTCCCGTGCCAGCTTTGAGGATACATCCCATTGCCTCCCAGAATAAGTTGAAGCTCATCTACCTACATTTCAAGGGTAGCAGGAGGCTTCCTGGAAAGCACGGTCTCAGGTTGCCTACATCTGCTATGGAATCTAAAGTCTACCACGGCTCCCCACTGCATTCAAACCCTGCCTCCTCCATCCTTCATCCTACATGCTGCTCACGTCCACCACACATTCATGCTGTCCCTTCTCCCTCCTCTCATCTTTGCCACTGGGGATTCCTCTACCAAGGTCCCCTTGTCTTGGCAAACTCCTATCAACTCTGAGGTTCAGGTAGGATTGGATTTGTCTAGGGGGCCACCTCAGCTATTCACAATTACCCCAAGCTTTCTAGGTTCTAAAGGGAGGGCCTGTGCAGAGACCAAGTTTAGGGATAGATAAGTTCACAGGTACTCAGAGATGTTTGCTGAAGGACTGAATAACCAAGATCAAACAGTGATTCTGGGAAGATGGAGTAGAACCTGTTTTCAGAGATGGATACTTGCTTTCATCTGTTCCCCTAGGAGCTACTTTCCCTGAGGTGTGAGCAGCAATTGGTCACCAAAGCGCCTGGTGCATGGGCAAGGACCTGGTCAGCACAGGAATTATTTTACAGGAGCTCAGGGATATTTGCTGAATGACTGAATGAGACAATATTGGCCCTGGGCAGCTGAGTTGAAGCCTTAGGTTCCCAGAAATAGATGCGGCACTCTGATATACTGCCTCCACTCCTACTGCCCCAGTGACCTCCTTCCCTGGGGTGTGAGCAGCAATAAGTCACCCAGGAGCCAGGTGAGGTAGGGTGGTGAGGTGGGGCAAGGGCAGGAGCTGGGAGGAAACCACACATTCCTCCTGTTCCTGCCACTTCTGTCCACTCGGCACCTCCTGGGCCTCCAGAGGACTCTGGGAGAAGAGAAAACAGGACAGACCAGCTCAGCCTGGCACTGGTTACCCCCACGTCCTCACCCCCCCAACCTCCACTCCCTGCCACGAGGGGCCCAGGGGACTTTGTCTCCACTGGGCCCAGGGCTGTGATCCGGAACAGTGATAGGGGCTAATTGCAGGAGGCAGCCAAGCGGGCCTGGAGCCAAGGGCCCTTATGAAAAGGAGAGGAAAGAACAGAGACAGGAGGAAGGGGGCGGGGTGACAAGAGCCAGAACCCCACAATGGGGGTGCAGTTCCAGTTTTGGCTCTGCTGCTATCTAACCTGATGGCCTTGGACAAGGCCCTGACCATCTCTGACCTCACTTTGTCCATCTGCAAAATGGGAGAGAAGAATCTCTGGAGGGCAAGTTTCATGCAAAGCACTCACTTGGTATGGTCCTCAATGTGGTTGTTTATTCTTGTTCCTAAGCTGTAATGCCACAATCAGATATAGGCCCCATAGCTGGCAGCTGTAGCCCAGGAGCTTCTCTTTGGCTTGACACCAGCTCAGTCCCTTCTTCACAAGGACAGACTGTCAGGCTCTACAGAGTTTGTTTGCAGAGTGGGAGACTGAAGCTCCCAGAGAAGGCACCTGCCTGGTTCCCCATGTGGGTGCAGAGCTGGGGTCTGAGCCCTGCAGAGGAGCTGGGGCAGATACCATTATGTTAGAACTCTCCACTCCTCTTGATCTTTGTTGCCCAAAAGAAGTCAGGACCGCAGGGTTACACAGGCCTGGGCCAGGACCCCAGTGACAATGATGGTGACTGCTCCAAATCTACAGCCACTGTGCTGAGATGACCAGTTCAAAAACAAAAACATGGGATTCAGGCTGAGAAGGATCTCAGAGGGACAGGAAGCAGCTGTATCAGGAACTAGGGCTTTGGAGGGGACAACAGTGAGCCAAGGCAGCCCTAGATAGCCAGGGGCACCCTGGTTGGGGGGATCTCAGTCTCATTACATTCCTGTGGCTGGGGGAGGCCCCTTGGATGCCTTCCCGGGCCTCCCCCTGCCCTGCCAGGGACAAAGCCCTTTTCTGCCTTTGGTCCCTTGGCTGCCAAGGGGTGCCTGGGGCGCCTGGCTAGGGGTGGAGGAAGGCCGAGGGGCGTGACATCCCCATGCTGTCTCCAGTGATGCTGGGACAGGGCCACAAGGGGAGGTCCTGGCAGCCCAGGACCATTGGCTCCTCTGGATCCAGGTCCCTCCCCCCACTGATAGCAGAAGCTGCTGTATAAAAGGTTCCATGCTGGTTCCCTGGGGGACTGTACACTCTCAGAACAGACTGCCCATGCAGGGATGAGAAAAATAAAGAAGAAAACCAAGCCTCACAGCCATAAAGTGACCTGCTTGAGGTTGCACAGTGAGTGACAGAATCAAGTATAAAATCTTGTTGCGTGTAAAGCCAAAGCTCTAAATTTCCAATTATGACCTCTAACTAAACCTTCTGAGCCCCAAGCTGAGCATCTCTTTCACTAATGCACAGGATTGTTGGGGAGGAAGAGATGGTAGATTTGCAAACTTCTTGGCCTGGATTGTGCTGTCTCTTTTCCTCTTTAGGCCCCTATCTCCTTATCTGTAAAATAGGAGGAAGAACACTGATCACATAGCTTTTGTGACACTCAGGCCACTGTGATAGTCTCTGTAAGCAGATGAGATTTCAGTCCCCAGGGACTACTAGAAATAAGGCCACATTTACAGCCCAGTTCCTACCCATGGGACCCTGGTGAGAGGGACCCAGCTCGGGAAGACAAGCCTCGGACTGGCTAGTTCTTACACACTGCATCATCATCACCATGAGATTGACACTGGGAAGTCCATCTTAGTATGTGGGACCCTGATGTCTCACTCCTATGCTCTGGGTAGGCCATATTTCCTTGTGGAGCATTGGCTTTCTGCTCAATGAAACTAGGATTTAAAAAAGCATGGCTCAAATGGAAAGTGCGAAGATTCTGGAGGTCAGAGACTCAGAGAAAGTGCCTAAAGCAACTGTGTGCTGGCTAGCACACTGTAGATGGTGGCTCTGTGACAGAAAACTTGTCTGGCCTCTGAGGCCTCTGCCATCTCCTCCAGGCCTGCCCATGTCACCTGCTTTTGCCAGCCAGTGGGGGCACTTACCACTGGGAAAGAGGAATTTCTGAAAAGAATTAAAGAAGTGAGGCTTTAGGAGGCGGGAGTCAGGCTGGCCTTTGAATGGGATGAAAAGCCCTGGAGGAGCCTAGCTAGTTCACATTGTCTGCCTTGGACAAAGGGGGTTGGTCCTCCCAAGTGGACGTGGGCAGCAGCTGCAGACCAACCAGGGGCCAGAACAGGTTCAAACACTGTCATGGAGGCCAGAAAAAAAGATTTGAATTCCAGCTTTGCAAGCCCATGAGCCTGGATGATCATGTCAGTTTTCTGGTCTCAGTCTGCTTATCTGTTGAGTGGGGACAGTTTTCTCTACCTTCTTCAAGTCTTGAAGATGATCCTGCCTTGAAAGGGCTTTTCCACCGCATCAGATCCTGGGAAGATAGATACTCCATACCATAAAGTGGCAGAAATACTGTTCTAATTGTCAGATGAAAGCAGAGAGATCAAATCCTCTTTCCCTCTCTGTGGAAAATGCCAGGTCCCTGGAGAACACTGACCCAGTGGGCTGAGTCTCCATCCAAATACTTCCTCTAAGGGACATAAATAGCCCAGGTACTTAAAAAAAAAGCCTGGAGCAAGAAAAAGGGGAGAGAGTTCCCCAAGTGTCACAAAAGGGTGTGCTGGACTTTTCCCACGTGCAGGGGGAGGGGCCCTTGGGCCAGGGGTGACAAATCCTTTCATTCCTCTCCCTCTAGTAAACTGGGGCTGAATGAGAGGCAGTAGGGGAGGCTAGTAGGTCCGGACATATGGGTAGGGGACTCCGAATCCCAAGAGCCTTGGCCAGATAGCCCAGCAGCTGGGTGGCTCAGGACCCTGCCCTACACCAATCCGGCACTGAGGTCGCGGATGCAGATCGCTTTCCTAAACTCGGGAGTGCATGCAAGTGGTGGTGGTGGTGGTGGTGGTGTGTGCCCAGACTCCCGGCTCTCACGCTGGCCTGGCAGGGGACAGGATTGGGGGAGCTCTTACCTGCGTCCAGAAAATGGGGAGCCTCCGACGGACCAAGCGGCGCCGCCTCCCGGGAACAGCAGTCCGAGGCAGAGCAGCGCCCAGGCCCGCGGGCCGCCCATGCTGTGCACGGCCGCCCCTAGCCGCCGGCCCCAGCCTGCCGTCCCCAGCCTGCCGTCCCCGCCCGCCGCGCCGCCAGCCTCCGGGACGCGCAGAGCCGGGTTCCCAGCGCGGCGGCCGAGGGCTGGCGCGGGGCAGGCGGGGCGGGGGCGCGCGTTCCCAGCCTCGCCCGCCCTCGGCGCGGCCCCCCGCCCCCTGCGCCGCCGCCAACCCGGAAGGAGCCCGGGGCCGGGCGCCCCCTCCAGGAGGCCTGCGGGTGCCCACCTGAGTCTGCGGCTGTGCTGAGCGCGGGACGCAGCTCCGAGGTGCCCTCCCACACGTTGCATATGTGGAACTGGGGCTCAGGCTCACCTTTGCAGAGGTAGCCAGGACCCCAACCTACCAGGCCCGAGGCAATGATGGGTGCTCAGCCCTTCTCACCCTCTTCACACAATCCAGTTCCTGAACCATTGTGTGGGGAGCATGTCACCTCCCCTTACCACTCTGTCTCAGTTGAATCTTCAGATCTTTCTGTGCAAGGTGCAAACGATTATCCCCATTTGCAGATCTGAATAGGGAGGCCAAGGCCCTTGTGGTTGCCCTGGGAGGCTGGGCTGGCCACATAAACTCTTTTACAGATGGACAAGATGGTATATCTAAAGCATCTGGGTAGTAGTTGGCATAGCCAGAATTTGAACCAATGTCTGACTTAAGAGGTGATAAAGTACAGGGCACCTTGACACAGGGTTCAACTTCACCATCTGGAGCAAGATAAGGGTTGGCTGAGAGTGGAATTTCTTCATCTTGGGACATGGATGAACTTCTGGGAAGAAGACTGTGTGCCCTCAAAGACGTACACAAGTGTGTGTGAACAAGTGCAATGTCCATGTCTATGTGTGTGATGTGTATCTCTGTGATAGGAGTGTGTTTGGGGCAAGAACCAGAGTTTTCAGCAAAGGAGACCTAGAACCCTCCAACTTCTCAACACAGTCTACGCTGACTGTCCTCTTGTGTTGGTGTTTGGGAGGCAGCTGCAGGGGGGGAATCTGGGATGAGTGGGGGGGGGCTTTTCCTTCCATTGCATGTCCACATTGAGGACCCCTGAGGGGAACTGCTGGAAACCCTCCCACTGAAGGGATTTGTCCACCCTACTCTTGATTCCTAGGGCTGCATCTCCTGGACTCAGACTAGCAGCACCAGGTCCTGGCCTGAGTTGGGATGCGGGAGACATCAACATTGTGCACAATTACAGGAAGCTGATGCCTTCTCCCAGGCAAATGAGAGTAAGGGCTGGGTTCCAACTGTCCCTCTGGTATCTCGGGCAAGCCTTGCCCCTCGTGGAGGCTCAGTTTCTCTTTTGTAAGGAGGACAGTTGCATGTTCCTCACAGGGATGTGGAGTGAATGAAGTTGTCCCTTGCTTCACATGGTCCCCCCAGAGCTCCCTGCTTCCTTGGATGGCATCACAACTATGCCTTGTTTTCTTCCATGTGAGATTGGGCTCTTATTAAGTGCCATCTTTCCGACCCTGAAGAACTGTAGCTTTGTGCTTCTCTGGTTAGCTCTAGATTTTAACACAGCTAGATGACTTCACCCCAACCCTGTGTGACTTTTTACTCCTAAGGGGCTATGTCCTAAAGGATCCCAGTCCTGTCTGAAGCCCTAGTCAAGTGCCCAGGATTAAAACCCATTACCCTCAAGAGCATTTTAAAGAATGGACAGGCATTGACCAGTGGCTATTGTCCTTCAGGGTTCCTTGGAGGGACTGAGAAGTGTCTGGACCCCAGGTGGGTGCCACAGAATATGGAGTTGCCACCAGTTCAGTCGACACCAACAATGTGTCTGGGATGTTCCTGTGATGAATGGCATCCACGTCCCTTCACCAGTGACACTGAACTTCAGGCAGCTGTGGAAGATCCCATTTCCCAGCAAGGGACCATCTCTGAAAAATTTTCACATCAGACAGTGCCTACTCTTGCTGAGGCTAGGATTCCTTGGTCTGGGACACTGATAAGGTATCAGATCCTGTGTCAGTGCACCCTGGTGGTTACAGCACAGACTTGGCAGTTCATAGATCTGGTGTCCAACCCAGAGTGATCACTGAGAGCTGCATGACCTGTGCCAAGTCCCTTCTCTAACATGAATTTTCTTGCCTGAAAAAGCAAACTATAGTATCTTTTTATGATTGATTCCCTTGGCTTAGGACTCCATGCTCCTTGGAGAGTGCAGAGCTCCCCATCTCCCTGTGGTGTTCTCTGGGCACAGTCAACTTCTCACCCCTTTACGGGTTCGCTTTCCTGATGGATTTTAGCCTGCTTTCTGGTCCTGTCTCCCCCTGAATGGAAACACAGGAATGCCGCAGGGGCCAGAGATTTGGTCACTTGAGGTTTCAGTGTTTGCTGAGACAGAAGAACAGGGCTGGCTGGCTTGAGGTCTCAGGGCCTGTCCCTGCATGTGGAGCCACCCCCACTGGGAGCCTGGTCCCTTCCACTGCCAAGACCAGACCACAGCAGCCAGTAACGACAGCAGCTTCCGTTTGGGAGAGCTGACTGTGCGCCAGCGCTGTGCTAAGCATTTTGCTCGCATTGTCTTTTGCCCTCTCTGCCACCAGAGAGGCAGCCTTATTGCCTCCAGGTGTGGGGCTCAGGGGCTCAGGGGGCTCTTTTAGGCCCAGGCTGGTGAGTGATGGGTGCCGTCTTGTGTGCTACCCACTAGAGCACCCTGCCACCCTTTAGCCAAGTCCTGCAGGGAGCTTCTTTGGGGAAAGAAAGAACTTGGCTCTCCTCTGGGCTTCCATCTGGGGCAAAAGAGACCAGCAAAAACACATGGATACATATGCAGTCCTGGACCCACGTACTTGGGAACCACACAGGGACACACCCAGGCACTCTCCCCCGGAACTGGCTGGTGGGGTCTGGAAATGGCAGTCTAGTGCAGATTTGCTGACCCATCCCCCAGCCTAGTTCAAACAGGAAATGCTTTTCTCCTAACAAACAAACCTGGGCTGCAGCCTTCTTCCCCTGTGACCTCCCTTTGGCTTTAGTTCAGGGTTTTTGTCCTCCTGCTGTGTACCAAGGGACACCCTCCTCAGCTGGAGGAGAGGGTGTTACCCAAAATGTCAGTACTGTTCACATGCCAGTAGCCTAGGCCTCTAATCTATAGGTGAGCAAGCGGCCTGAGGGAGCTGCAGAGCCTGGAGTAGCAGCCCCCAGGAGCCCAGGCCTAATGTCAGGCAGAGTCTGAGGCCATGAAAGGAAAGGGCCTGGAAGTACAGTTTTCAAAACTCTGCTCAAAGGGCAGGGCCGAGGGGGAGCCTTCCCAGCGCCTTCCAGGTTAATGAACTGTATGGGCTCTCTGTGCCTTCGGCTGAGGGGAGAGCATTCGGCTTGCAGCCCCTCAGCTCAGGGTCAGCGGCACCCCACTGGATTAGACTGTACAGCAGCCTCAGAGCCTGCAGCTGCCTGCTGGAATTATTTATGCTCTATGGAGCTGCCCTTCTCACCCAGCTCATTTCTTCTTTGAGAATGGGGACAGAGGCTGGAAGGGAGCGAGGGCAGGAAGGAAGCTGTCAGAAAATCATAAATTAGGGCTTTGAGAGGTCCTTTCCACCCTTCCCAGGAATCTTGAGGGGGAGAGTTCTGTATCTTTTGGGGGTGGCAGTGATGGAGGGAGACACCAGAATGACTGAGCCAGACCCAAACACTCACAGTGAGACAAGGAGGAGCTTTTAGGGTTAGGAGACCTGGATGATCTGTGTCATCAAGAGAGTCCTTTCTCTGTGGCCTCAGTTTCTCTAGCTAGAAAATGATGGTATGGGCACTCGGGAACTTTTTTTGTGATCACATTTTGTTAACTGCAAAGGAATGGAGAAATGAGAATTCTCCTCAGCTATGTACATTCCCTTTCTCAAGTACCTTTCCCCAAATCCTTCCTTTCTAATTCCAACCCCGGAACCTCTGACCCACCTGCCTTCTATGGAATCCTTTACTTCTCTTTCTATACCTCTCTTGCAACAGTGAACTAATGGGGCTTCAATATTCAGCATCTACCTGTCTAAGAGTAGGGCTGTGGGCTCATTCACACTAGGGCGAATGGTGTTTTAATGTTATTTAATGATGGGAGGATGGAGCTTTGACAGAGATTCCTCCTCATTTAAACCCTTGATCACTGGTCATAGGCTTTTTGCCTAGTAGGTGGTATTTGGTTACGAGAGACCTAAGATTATGGTCTTCAGAGTGTGCAGAGGTGTCCATCTCCCCGTCCCGATGAGGAGAAGCCCAGTCCTGCCGGATGAGCCTGGGTGGCAGCCATAAGTCTGTGAGGTTAGACGGATCAGGAAGGAGTGAAGGGCAGGAAAAAGACCAGCTCAGAGCCAAGACCCTACAGCTGCTCATCAGCTCTTCCAGTCCTGGATAAATGCTCTTTATTTCTGGGAAGGGGCTTCTGAAAGGAGTAGAACAACAAGAGTAGGGACAGCAGGGGGACAGGAAGAGAGAGAGAGGGAAGGAGAGTGCTACAGTGAGAACGGCTGAAAAGGGTGCATAAGACAGGAAGCCGGAGACGAGGGAGACAAGTGAGCCAGGGAAATGTAGGAGCAGATGGAAGGCAGAAAAAGAGACAGATTGGCAGACAGATGCAGAAAGAGGGGACTTTTGGAAGAGGACCCTGTTGCTGAATTTGGCTCCCACAGGAGCCTGGCAGGGGATGTGGTTCTGGGTCCTGGCCTCATCTGTCCCTCAGTGGCGTGCAGGCTCTGGCCTTGACCAGATCTCCACACCATTCCCTGATGGTGGGAGCCTGTCTTTCCTCCATTGCTCACCGTGTCTGGCACTGGCTGCCTGCTGAGCCCTGAGTGGGTGAGCTGCTGTGCGGAGTGTCCTCCTTGAGCTCCTGAGCTCCAGGATCCCTCTGCCAACCCTCAAGTGCAGCACTGCAGGGCTATGTATGGGTGTTTTCTCCATGCGTCTGCTCCTTGGCTCTGTCCCATCCAAGCCCCTCCCTTGTGGGATGTGTCAGTGAACTCCTTTGGGGTCTCTGGCCACCTCTCTGATTCTTCTAGTCCTGCAGGGTCTTCCCAAAGGCAAATGGAGCCAAGGAACCCTATTAGGAAAACTAGGTAATCTCCCTGCTCCCTTGAGGCTGAGAACTCACTGTGAC